ATTCCCTACCACTCTGTTTGTAACTCTGTACTGTCTGTACTGTTCCTTTGCTATTTTGTAAAATGTCGACAGTCTGTTAATATTTTCCTCCTTTTATTTTTAAAACAAAAAATAAAAATAAAAATAAAAAAATAAAAAACCTGTGCTTAGCATCCTAAGGGTTTTATTGGATGAAGGAGGAAGCATGCTACACCATAAGGATAATGTAAGCATCTTATTTTCAAACTATGGGCAATCAGAGAAAATAATCATAAAAGAAGCTACAATGACAGTCTGATAATATTACATCACCTAGGAAGAGTTACACACAAGTTATGTATTCATATGCACAAGTCTTCCTCAGCATTTGAAATATCAGTTCATGTAAACCATCACTTTGACAGGATAATAAAAAAAATAGGATCAGATCATATCATTCCATGAAAAAATACATTTGACAAAATACACTAACTCTTCATGATATAGAAAATGCTCTCAGTACACTAATAAAAGCTGGGATGATCTTGAGTTTGATAAAGAATACAGTTTTCCCTTGCTATATTACAGTTTGCTTACTATGGCTTTACTATATCATGGATTTTTTTAAAAAAATATATATCTAATTCTATATTGTGGAGTTTTTGCTGTATAGTGGGATTTTGCAGTATATAGATATTTATATAATATTTATTATTTTAATTATTTTTTGCCTAAAAATTTAAAACAATATAGAAATATAAAAAATGTTAATTCAAACATATTAAAAGAATATTAAAACAAAATAAAATGCAGTATATATTTCATTAGTGGATGAATACTGTACTGTACACAATGGACATGCAGGATGCCACTACTGCTTGTGCAGGTTTGCTAGCATGAGATTATACATGGCACACTGTTGGCTGATGGAATGGAAGGGGACCAACCACAGCAGTGAGTTCTATATACTGGGTGCTGATTGGCTCAGTGACCGTAGCATTGGTCTCTTTATCTCCCTCACTGTGCCCATAGACTCAGAATCTCTCCTTGTACACTTCACATAGAGTACCCATATAGAATTTTACATGTTGTTAAAATTACATACGATGAGGGTGTGGAAAGTGTTTAAGAGCATATGAAGTGTTTATAAGAGCATGGGAAAGGTTAATAAGAGAGTGGGAAATGTTCATAGGAGTGTGAGAAGGGTTTATAAAGCCTTA